GGCAATTGGGGGGGAGGGAGGGATGAGGGGGGAAGGGAGGGGGCAATTGGGGGGAGGGAGGGATGAGGGGGGAAGGGAGGGGGCAATTGGGGGGATGGGGCGGGGAGGGGCCCTTTACTAATTTGCTGCATCCTCCCCCTTATTAGGGTGTGTCCTGATTATGACAATAGGTGTATTTTTAAAATGTAGTGACTAATAATAACGGTGTCTTTTGGCATTGACAGGGAAAGCTGTACTGTAACTTGTTCTCTGGTAAAGGTTCAACTTTAGGCTCCACCCCACCAGAATTCCCCTCTACCTGCCAACAACTTGTCCTGGGCCCACTAGAGCTTTTAAATATGCTAGCTTTAAAACTTTATTCTACTCTAGGCAATCCCTTAGTTTATTCTTCCCAGCTTGGCCCTCATGTTGACTTTCCACAATTGGAGGTCACTGTCTCACTCCTGCTACTTCATCCGTGTGGTTCTCTCTTGGTTCTGAGGGACTGACTTAACCCTTCTGTCGGCATCCATTTACAGCCAGCCTTTTCTTTTAGTTTAGTTTCGGATTGAAAATCGGCAAAACCCTTTTGTGAGTCTGTGTCTGAAGGATCCCAAGTAAAACTACAACAAACTTTGGCAGAGAGAGAGAGAGACTGAGTTGTAATTGAAGGGAGAATCAGGGGAAGGAAGTAGGACAAGGATAAGGCACAGCAGCTAAATTTTTTTATATAGTTCTCCTGGGAGCGTATGTTGATCTGATGAGCATTCTACTGTAAAGAGTAACATGGGTTTGGGTATGTGTTGTTCCTTTTCAATGTGCTTTTGCTTTCTTCTCACTAGATCAGTCAAAATGCAAACTCCAGTGGCTCTCCTTGCTTCTCCAGCTCTGGTAAGCAGCTGTTTGTTTGCGGAGGAGTAATGCCAGGAGGTGGGGATGCAGCTACCATGGAGAATGAAGGCATTTCTGTTTAGAGCTGTATTCAAAATGCTGTCCCAGACACCCTTCTACCTGGGATGTGTTATGGTGGATAACTTTCAGTCCAGACTCCTTGACTGGGGGAATCAAGGTCATCTGTGGTGTTGGTGAAGGGAGGGTGGATATCTTCAGTCTCAATAGGGTTGTATTATGCAAATCCAGAGGCTGAGAAGATGTACTAACCTATTGTGGCTAAGGGTATAGACACCTCCACTCTTGATAGGATTCCTTCCTAGTTATAAATCCCTCAAAGCGTACAACACTGGCTCAAAACTCAAATATAGTGGCACTAATTATACTTCAATTGTGTCTTGTCCTTAGATAATAGGTTATTGTTAGTCAACTAGCTTGAGTCCCTGAGACATTTGCTTTCAAATTTTCAGTGGAGTTGAGGGTGACTCTTAATTTCTTGTTCCTGACAAAAGCTGTTCAAAGACCTCGATTGATGACTGTAAACTGCCTTCAACTCTAATGACAGGTTTCAGAGTAGCAGCCGTGTTAGTCTAAGGAATGCGGAGGTGTCCCATTATGGGTCAAATGTCTTTCTTTCACTTCAGTTCCGCTGCTGTTCCAGGGCTCTGGCAAGGCCGATTTCCATATCTGTACTGAGCAGGCCTGAGACTCAGACTGTACAGGTAAGACTAAAGAAAATTGCCCCTACCTGCTATAATTGGGTCTCTGTTTCTAACATCTTGGGATGAAATGCC